AATCACAATCTTGTTCCCTCAAATTCAGTGAATTGTCGAACCGTCACATGTTTGATTTTCCTGATTTGGATGTTTTCTAATAGAAACCACTTTAGGTGGCGTACAAGACGTGAATCTCCACTTGACTATCAAGAAGCTGAGAAACCATTGATGCCAACAATGGCAAGGAAGAGCTGAATAAGCCTCCGCCATAATCTTCATTCGAAGACTTATGCTCAAAGCATTACAAATGGAAATACTCCCCGAACGAGGATTCCATGGCTCTTTGGCTCGCTTCTACGGACCGTCTAATCATGAAAGGTATGGACCCAGTTTGGTCAAAGCCTACCAAATGGTGATGCACTACTTCGGCAGGGATACACTGAACGACATATTCTTTCACAATACAATTTCGAGTTTGTGTTCACAAACATATAGTATAATCAGGGCCTGCCAAGGTGTGGCATCATGTCCGAAGCATGATCCTTGGTACATAAGACCTAAAAACTTCAAGAATAAGGGGTAATATTCTCGAACCTCAACCTTGCAAGAATCTACTCCCGTCTTGATGGAATAGATCATTGGTTATGCACCTGTTCGTGCCCCTACCAATGTTGTTGAGGAGTACCATTCTAGTAGTCAATATGTGAGATTGATTTTGCTCCACCGAATATCGTTGGAATAGCAAAATTGTGACATGAATAGCCTTGTTGGCCGAATCCACCAAAGTAACTTTGGTTTACTTTGTGAGCATTTTCCATGTTCTTGGATTCAAGTTTGGTGTATGTTTTACTTATGGATAATCTTATTGATATTGTCCTCGAATATGAGTTAATTGAATCATGTTTCTTAATACATGTGACCGATTCAATTAACCACGTGATTAGGTAGGAATGTGGGAAAGTTAGTTGTCTGGATGAATGCGTACGCACACTAACTTTACACCTAAATCACATCTCTAACAACAATTTTAGGTCTATCCAACCTGATTAAGAGCATTGGCACGCTCCTCATTGTATGAATGATACTGAATTATCATTTAAAGGACCTTAAATTCTTCCTGACGTTGAGTTTTTAAGGATATTCGAGATGACAATAATCATAAATGAAACCACTGAAGAAAATAGAGTGAAATATCTTTGCACCACCTCTAAAAATGAGTCTGAAGCTTTGATTTGGGGCCAATGGGTTGTCTAACAACTGGGAATACACCACATGTGGCCGGCCTATAGCCTGGTGATTGAGCAGTTTACTTGCTTTGGCACGACCTTTTGGGACACTTAGGTCAAACAATGATGCTACAACGCATCTCCTTATCTGAAGTAAGGATTTTGTGCCTACAAGCACACTTGCCAATCCTGCTCATTAGGAAAATTGATTTTCTATATCATTTCTTGCAAAGATACAACACGACTCCATTTTCGCAGTGGATTCAAAGGAATATATGTGGACTAATCCAACCAAAATGCAGACCATATAATTATTTATGGTTTTGGTTGATGAATCGACAAACTGGTCACATGTTTGTCCACACACATTACGGCTAAACCTCTTGGCTGATTAAGGGTTCACCACCCTACTTATCCCTTAAGGTCTGGAATACTGGATAATGTTAGAGAGTTTATATTGACGGTTTTCGATAAAGTATTGCATGTCATTTTGGGTTTTTAATTGAACATCGCATTCCCATGTTCACCCCAAATAGCCTAGCCTAGCGATCATAAAGCGCAATTTAAATGATCGCCTGAATTTTGGTAAACGTATCAAGTTTTCGGTCTTTGCCTAGGGCTATGCAATCTTGCACGTAGCTATGTTGGTCTGCCTTGAGGCTCATTGCTACCCAACCTATATGACATTACAGTTGGTTACTGGGTACGAACCTGACGACTTTCGTATTTACGCATTTGGGTGTGTATTCCATGTGCCAAGTTGCGCCGCCGCAACGTACCACCATGGGTCCTCAAAGAAGGATGTGTATCTTTTGTCGATCATGATTCTCCTTCACACTAGCTCTCTTCGATCCCTTGCACACGATATCTTTACTGCTTATTTGCGGGTTGTCACTTTAATGAGACAGTCTTCCCGCCGTTAGGGGGAGATAAGAACGTCAAGGTTCTTGTAGAACGACGCGAATTTGCATGGACGTTGCCCACTATGTCTCATCTCGATCCCCATACCGCACAAGTGTGATAAGCAAGTGCGACGAATTCTAGATTTCAGAATGTTGCTTCAGACGCATTCCTCTGATCTAGCTAAAGTGACAAGATCATAGACCAGCTGCGAACATGCCTGCAAGGATAGACGTACTTAATGGACGTTGAGTCAACATCCCTGGAGGGTGTGCCTCCCATGTTGGACGATTTGGATGCCCCTGTTGGACGGTCCGGTACACCGACGGATAGCTAATCAATATGTCTTGGCCTGGAGCACGACATATCATTCGATTCGTAGGATTCACTTCCCTGGAAGAGGAAGACATGGCACAACAATGAATCTAAACTCGATCGCTGTCTCAAATCATTTCCATCTCATGAGATTAATCCAGATTATTTCCGAAACTTGAAGTTCTTGGTCCAGTATACTAGTTTGGATGAGAAAATGGAATTGAAATGAGATTATCATCGATGATGTTTTCACTTATATGGTAGCTATCAACATAAATGAAAAGCGACGATATCGAACCGTGTTCCGTTGATTAAGTGACAACGTAGAACTGATTGGACAACTAATGTTACAATCCAGGTCAAATTCCTTACCAAAGTGTGTATTGGACCTGTCGTTCCTACACTGCCCAAGGTAACCCTGTTGAGTTACAAGTGGGAAAGGAAACATTATGAGATGAATGAAATAGTGCAATATGATGCACGCCTTACGGCGCAAGGTTTCTCTCAAAACGTCCTGTGATTAATAGCAGCATTATGAAATGTGGTTAGTATTTCTCCATGGGGATATAAATATGGAGATTTACGTGTAAGTTCCCGAAGAATTACATGGACTGGTTCAAATAGTTCCAAACCACGGAACACCCTCTTAACTCATTTTGAGGCGTTCACTTATGGATTGAAAAATCCGACGGATGTGGTATACCCGTCTAAGTGATTATTTGATCAGTCAAGGATATGAATTATGCCCTTGCGTGTTAAACTATGAAGTCTTATTCCAAATTGCTAGAGTTATAATTTATGTCGTTAACACGAATCTCACTAAGACTCTGGAAGAGCTTGAGAAAACTGCCTCGCACCTGAAGATGGAATTTGAGATGAAGGATCTTGGGAAAACTCATTTATGCCTTGACCTGAAGTTGAAGCATTGTTCTGATGGTATTTTGGTCTACCAGTTGAACTACACCCGAAATGTGTCACCTTTGAGTATACCCATGATCATCCACACGTTATATGCAAATGAGACTCTTGAAGAGTCTATGGAATCTGAAATTCCATATCTAAAAGTTCAACTTTGCGCTTCGTTGTACTTAGCTCATTGTATTTAGACAGGACATCTCCTTCGTTGTTGATCTTGGTAAAGATGTAGCATCGCGCCTACACGCAACCATTGAATTGGTATTAAAGACGTACCTTGAAGGTATTACGTAGGCAAATCCCAACGCATCTTAAGCGGATCTAACCCCCCCTGATCCTCGAAATGATGCTTGCCTTATTTGTTATGTTGACGCTGGTTACTTATCAAACCTGCACAAGACAAAATCCCCGAATGGTTATGTCTTTACCGTTAGGGATATCGCAATATCTTGGAGGTCCACGATATGACCCTAGTTGCGAAATCTTCGAATCGTTCCAAGACTCACCTTACTTCACTATGCCACAAGTGAGACATGGTTAGGAGTTCTTGTTGAGCATATTCGAAGTACTTGCTATATTTTCATCCATCGTTGAGTCCCAACGACGATCCATGAAGATTATGCCACATGTATCAACCTGACCAAGCCATGATACATCAACGAAGTCAACACCAAGACATATTGCGTCTACATCTACATCATCAAAGCATCAGGAGATTGAAGTCATGCAAACCGATCCCAGACAACCTTGCCGACCTTTACACGATGTCACTGATGAAGTCAACCTTCCAGAAGATTGTCCGAGGAATTGGTATGCCTAACTACTTATATGCAATGCTTGTAGTTCTCATTTGGAAGTTATGTCAAACTCAGGGGGAGTATCCAGAAGTATACTCACTTGATCTTAATGTACTCTTTTTCCCTACGATTAGGAGCATTTTTCCCACTGGGTTTTTACTACCTAACTAGGTTTTAACGAGGCACCCATATTGGGCTGATCATACCCTTGAGAGCTCTTCTACTTGCGTCCAAAAGACGTATAGTTTTGACTTAATGCAACTTCTCACTTTTCTTCTTAGACTATGGGTTTTTCTCCCATCTTGGGTTTTACCATAGCAAGGTTTTGTGAGTTTTACTTTTTATGCATTCTTCCGTTGATTTGAGACTCACATTTGCCCATTGTGCCGATGACTTCATCAACTGTACTTACTTCATCAATGAAGACTTGATGCGCCATTTACTTGAGTATTTATACACTCAAGCGGGAATGTTGCAGTCTTATTTAGAATAGGAATGTGATTGTGTAAATCCTAGGAAATATGGGAATGTATCTTATATTCCTATTAGGATTAGATTACCTATTAAATGTTGTAATCCTAAAGGGAAAGGTTTTACCCTTCCTACTACTATAAATAAAGGCACAATGGGGTGAGATAACACACACCCACAATTACACATCTCTCTATTGCCGCACCCCCTCTATCTCTAAGGCCTCCATAATTGTTCAGTAAATTATGCCTACAACATAACCATGGTTCTCCGGGAGTTCTCTTCAACAAAATGAAAAAATAAAAACCGCACAAAAGATATTACTGCCCACATCATCATTCTTGTCCATTGTCTCCACTGGCTCTATTCACAGAAGCAGTTCGTAGGGTTTATGCAAAAAGGGTTTAACAAAAATCCCATCACAAATTCACAAAAACCTCTCAACACTTCGACCATGAGAAAATCTTCAATCTCTCTCTTCTCCCACCTCACTCGCCTGAGACTCAAATCCTCCGCTCCTCCTCTTCTTTCCAGAAATTACATTTCCGACCACCCTTTCTCTTCCCCCTCTCTGCCGCCGGTCTTATCGGCACGTTTCAGTCCTTGTGCCATAACCCATGAATCGGTCTCCCAAAACAGTCTATTCCAAGCAAACCCATCTCGAAATATGAACACCCTCGTCGAATCATCGCCTCAAATTTCCTCCAGGTAGAGAAAATCCATGGAAAAATCGAACCTTGAAAAAGCTTTCCAGTCTGCAAAAACCACCGAAGAAATGCTTGCGGCTTTCAAGGCCATGAAGTCGGCTTTTGAAGAGAGGGTGCTCGGCATGGCTGCTCTGAAAGTCGGTCTCAAGCTTGACCAGGACCAAGAAGGTGAAGATCCTGAAAAGGCTCTATCTTTTGCTACCAGAGCATTGAAGGCTTTGGATAGAGATGATAGCGGTAAGCCCTCTTTGGTTGTTGCCATGGCTTTACAATTGATGAGTTCTGTTAATTTTGGATTGAAAAGGTTTAATGATAGTTTGGGGTACCTTAATAGGGCTAATAGAGCATTGGGTAGATTAGAGGAGGAGGATTTTGATGTTTGGGATCTTAGGCCGGTGTTACACGCTGTGCAGCTTGAATTGGTGAATGTGAAGATGGCAATGGGGAGGAGAGATGAGGATTTGGGAAGTGTTGGAGATTAAGGAATTGATGTTGGAGAAAGATAGTACTGAACTTGGCAAGGGACACCGATTTGGCAGAGGCATATGTAACTCTTTTGAACTTTAAGGATGCATTAGGATTCTGTATGAAGGCATTGGAGATTCACAAAGAAAAGTTGGGGCAGAATTCGGTTGAGGTTGCGCATAACATGAGGCTTTTTGCGGTTATTTATAAAGGGTTGGAGGAGCATGAGAGGGCATTGGAGCAAAATGCATTGTCACAAAGGGTTTTGAAGAATTGGGGTCTTAGTTCCAACTTTCTTCATGCGGATATTGATGCTGCTAATATGCAGATTACCCTGGGAAACTTTGACGAGGCTATTAAAACTTTGAAGCGTGTTGTTTAGCAGATAGATAAGGCAAGTGAGACTAGGGCACTGGTGTTTATCTGGATGGGAAAAGCATTATGTAATCAGGAAAGAACGGCAGATGCAAAGAGATGTTTGGAGCTTGCTTGTGGAATTTTTGACAAGAGATAGACAGTCTCTCTAGTAGATGTTTCCGAAGCATACTCGGAGATAACAATGCAATATGAAACTATGAATGAGTTTGAAACTGCAATTTCACTGTTAAAAAGAACATTGGCTTTGCTTGAGAGGCTCCCACAAGAACAGCACTCTGAAGGAAGTGTTTCAGCTAGAATAGGGTGGTTACTTCTGTTGACCGGCAAGGTCTCACATGCTATTCCTTACTTGGAGAGTGCAGCTGAAAGGTTGAAAGAGAGCTTTGGTCCCAAGCATTTTGGCGTCGGCTATATTTACAATAACTTGGGGGCAGCATATTTAGAACTAGAGAGACCTCAGTCAGCTGCACAGATGTTTACTATTGTGAAGGACATCATGGATGTCTCACTGGGTCCCTATCATGCTGATTCAATTGAGTCATGCCAGAACCTCTCAAAAGCATATGCTGCCATGGGAAGGTATAACACTCGTTCTTATTGTCTTGCATATTTATACAATGTGGCTATGAACTTGTTATTTCCCATTGTTTCCTGGTCAACGAAGGTGAACTTAATACGATTATGGCACTTTAAATTCTATTTATCAAACAACAATATGCACTTTGTTAATGCACAAAACCGGGGGTTTTGGAACAACGTAAATCTGACTGTAAATCTGCAGGAAAGTAAATAACACAAGATGTATCGTGGTTCACCTCAATGTTTGGGCTAAGTCCACACTGATATTGTATTTCTCTAAGAGGATTGAGGATGAGAGGGTGAGAGCTTCTGAGGGTGAGAGAGCTCTTCCCATGGCCTAAGAATTGGCCTCCCTTAATGAGGAGAGTGAGGGGTCCTTTTATAGAATAAAGGCTCCTCACTTATTATATATTTGCCCCTTCATTTATTACATAATTACATTTGAGTCCCCCGAGTATTTATATGATCTAAATACGGAGACCCTAAGTATGGTATGAACAGTAGTCCTCCAAGTCTTCAGTCAAGAGTCTTTTGGCTGGAGACTTGAAATTCAGTCCATGCGTGAGCCGAAGTAACTAGATGTCGTCTTGAACTGATGCTCGATATAAGGCAGTGCTCAATTTGAAATGATGCTCAATTAGAAGTAGCACATGTTGTGAGGTTGCTCGGTTTGTGGCTTATGTTGCTTTGGTTGGCTAGGCTTGTGGCGTTGAAGGTGAGGGAGTCATTTTAATAGAATAAGGGATCGCTCCTCAATACATAAGTGATGGGTTAGGAGTGATGCTCGCGGCGAGGCGGTTGCTCAGCTGATGGCGATGCTCTCTAATGATGGTGAGGGAGTCCCTTTTATAAAATAAGGGCTCGCTCCTCAGTACATGAATAATGGGTGCTCTCTAATGAAAGTGAGAGAGTCCATTTTATAGAATAAGGGCTCGCTCCTCAGTACATAAATAATGGGCTAAGTCCCCCAAGTATTTTTCATGTAGTCCCCTAAGTTTTTCAATCAATAAGGTCTGTTGGCTGGAGACTTCAAATTGAATTCATGTATGGGCCGAAGTGGCGGTTGTTCGGAGGCGGTATTTGTATACCCTGCACTGAAGCTTTGTAGGTGAAGCTTTACAAGTGAAGCTTTTGAAGTTGGAGCTTTGTAAATGAACCTTTCGAAGCTGATTAACATGAGTGATGCTCATGAATGTTTATGTTGATTGACATGAGTGATGCTCATGGATGTTGGCATGAGTGATGCTCATGGATGTTAGCATGAGTGATGCTTATGAATGTTGACATGAGTGATGGTTATGAATGTTTATGTATGATTGTCATGAGTGATGCTTATGAATGTTTATGTATGATTGACATGAGTGATGCTCATGTATAATTTTGGAGTACTGTACGTACTTTTGATCACCTAGTGGGTGATAATAGCGGTAGGCTACTGAATAATTTTGGAGTACTGGGCGTACTTTTGATCATCTGGTTGGTGATAATAGCGGCATGTTGCCGAATAATTTTGGAGTACTGGGTGTACTTTTGATCACCTGGTTGGTGATAATAGCGGCAGGTTGCCAAATAATTTTGGTAATACTGGACGTACTTTTGATCACCTGGTTGGTGATAATAGAGGGCCTGGCTCTTTTGGGCATATGGGTCTTTGCCCTCCACATAGCATTCCAGCCCATTATTTTAGGCTTGCCTTTTTTGTTTTGTTTTGTTTTTTTTGCCCCTGTGATAGGGTTATACAGATATTTGCGAGAGATAAGAAAAATAAATTACATATTCAAAACAAAGGTTTCGACACACAAGCTTCGACAGTTGCAGATCGTTAGTGCGTACTGGGTTGTTGTAGATATTTTTCCATGTGCGTATTTCGCTTACTAAACGTTTTACCTTTTCCTTTCTCTTTATTTTTCTTTCTTTTGGCAGATGACAGACAAGAGAATAATGCCATTTCCTTTTTTTGCTTTTGCTTTTGCTTTCGTTTTCTGCTTTGCTTTTGCTATTGTTTCCGTTTTTCTTGATCTCCCCGCTCCTTCTCTGTCCACCCATGTTGCTTTGCAAGGTATCTTTTGCCTTTCTTGATTTCTTTCTATGGCGTCTCTGTCTCTCCACCTCCACTCTCTCTGGCAGACTTGTTTTTGCTTTTGCAGACTTGCTTTACAGCAAACATATCCATAGCTTTTGCATATCGTCCACAGTTCTAAGCAATCTAATGATGACAGGAAGAAGACGATCTTGAAAATTGGAGGTTTCTTCATCATCCAATTTAATTTCACCATCTTCTCCTTCTCCACTCATGAAACTAGATGCCCTTGCTTTCACTCTGGATATAATTATAACATCTGTATCTCCGGCATCGTGTATGGAAGCACGCATAAACTATGTAGAAAGAATGCTATTTATCGATTCAATTGAAGCAGCTACACGATCCCGGAGGTGATGAAAGCAATGTAAACCAGTAAGCTTATCCCCATCCAGCAAATGCTGTAAATCATCTGTGACGTCCAAGGCTCCAACACAATCTTTGATGTTGTCAGAGGACATCCCCTTGTACGAGTCTCTCCAGCTCATCGGAGGGCTTTGACCCTCGGATGCCATGGCTGAGAAAAGACAGCTGGGTGTCGGTGCCGTCGAGGACTTCGTTCCCGACGTTGATGCACGTGATTTTGGTCTGATGGAAATGGGGCTGCACGTGCTGCTGAATCCAGGATTGGGCTTTGAGAGGGTCGGTGGACATGCTCTGCAATTGGGATCAATGGGGAGTCCGACATCAAAACTATGATGGACCCATAAAGCGGTGACAAGAGTCTTGGCATCATTTCGAGCAGCAACACATATGGGATCATCATACACAATTTTATCCACAATGACGTGGGTGCAATTTGGGGAATAGTGGGCAACATCCTCTCCGTCGCAATCTACAAGCTTAGATCGAACTTGGTGCTCGTCAAAGTTGTCGGGTATGTCTCGGATTGGCTCTGTCTCGGGTCTGGTCGGCGCTGACCCATTAGAAACATTGAAAGACCCAAAAGGGTCGAAGGGGATTTAGGCTGGAGGTGATTGCGTTGTCGTGATTCCATTGGAGATGACGACCTGAGCTTTGATCTGGCTCGAGTTGTCAGTTACGAAGTTGCCCCAATCGTCGTCCAAGACGGTTGAATCTCGTCTGTTGATCTTGGGAGTCCTCGGCGTCGTCGACCTCTGCCATTGCTATGAGGGCTTTGAAGCTCTGTGTGTGCTTCTCTATCTTTCTGTTTTTTTGCTTTCAGTTGGTCCAGGCTGAACTCGCTAAACAAAGGGGGGAGAGAGAGAGTGGGGACTGTCGGATTTTTTGGATTTCTTTTTGTTTTGGTTCTTGGGTTTTGCAGATTCACGATGGAGGTGAAAAATTGAGAGAGAACCGACATAGCTTTTCGTGTCGATCCCTACAGACGGTGCCAAATGTTGATGCATAAAGCCGGAGGTCTTGGAACAACGTAAATCCGACCGTGAATTTGCAGGAAAGTAAATAACACAAGATGTATCGTGGTTCACCCTAATGTTTGGGTTACGTCCACACTGATATTGTATTTCTCTCAGAGCATTGAGGATGAGAGGGTGAGAGCTTCTAAGGGTGAGAGAGCTCTTCCCATGGCCTAAGAATCGGCCTCCCTTAATGAGGAGAGTGAGGAGTCATTTTATAGAATAAAGGCTCTTCACTTATTACATATTTGCCCATTCATTTATTACATAATTACATTTGAGTCCCCTGAGTATTTATACGAGATCTAAATACGGATGCGCTAAGTATGGTACAAACACACTTACTAAAAATGTTTAGTCTTATGTCGATTGTAATGAACAAATATAGCATCTTAGAACTTCTCTCCTGGATTTTCCAGCTTTGTCCTTGCAATCCAATTCCAGCAGCGTAGTGGATGCTTGGGAAGGCCACGGACCAAGTGCTGAAGACGAACTCAAAGAAGCACACCGAGTTCTCGAGCAATTGAAGTTTAAATCCCGTAACACATTTGCAAGTAATGAATTTACTACAAAGGCCTTACCTATACCCCAGACCCAAACGCATGCATCTGACAGGAGTTCACAAGGCCGATTTGCTGTGAATTAAAAGTGTTTGGACATAATTTAGAAGATGCTCAAACTTATTCATCCGCTGCATAGCTTGGACTGCAAAGCTTCATAGATTGGTGAGGGTCTGTGGCTGCTGATTTTAATTTTTTCGGTAATCTTACGTAGCTAGTTATATAAACAACACAAATTATGGTGATTCCTAGTTTTTCCAATGTCTTCATATGGTAAGTATTTGTGTACTAGACTAAGTCTCATTATTCTGGAATAATCACCCTTTTTCTACTGGAAGTTGATGATTTTGGCCAGCATTCGAGTTTAGCTTGCGTACGAAGCTTGTAATAATATCTCGGTCCTTAATTGCTTGATTAATAAAGGATCTTACCAATCTTTGTGATACACTTATTATCTGTTTAGTAGGAAATTAATCTATATTTCGAGCGTGTGGCCCGACTGGTTTACACTCTCTTGCCAGATTTTTCTGAGACATGTTGCCCTACAATATAGTAGATCTGTTTCTCTTGAATAACTTCTTGATGATGTTTGGTTGGCAAAGACGTGTGTGATGATGATGTTGGTGTTGGCTCATATGTGTTGCTTTGTTATTTTTGCCCTTGGCTTTTTTTTTTTTTTTTTTTAGGGCCTGTTACTTAACAAATGGGAAATTGAAGGAATTGGAGAACTAAAATATGGGAGAAGTAAGGAAAGGAAATCAGATCAACTAGTCCCCTAGTCGATTTATTTCCAATTTTTAGGCATTTGATTGCAAATTTCAAGGAAAATTGTACGTGTTTTTCGATTCCTTACATGTAAGTAAATGCAGTGAAAGTTAACGAGGGAAATGATTTCAATTTCTATTTCGTGTAAGTAAACATGCCATTAGACTCAAGCAATCTAATTCCTTTTTAGAAATTGATTTTTGCACACGGTTTTCTCATCATTCATACCGTTGCTTATTTCTGGTCCTTGGACTGAATAGATCAAAAGAAAATCTTGGGACAAAATTAAAAATGAATGGACATAATAAATATCATTCATATAATTTAAATTAGACCGTAATGAATACGTTCAGACTTTTAGCACTCACCAACATTTGCATAATTGCTTCAATATAAAAAGATGTTAAAAGGAATCATTCTCATTCATGAAGAACAAGAAGATAACAAACATAGAGTGGATCAAGCAATGATTCCCAAAACCCATGCCGCGGTTTAAGTAAGGAATCTCTAATGTGTCTCATTATGTCTAAATTAACCCAATGTGACCCTATACATTGGTTTATCTCATGTTACGCAACTATCCAATTGCAATTCAACAATTTCATCTTCTTTGCTGTTTAAGAGAATTCACCAATACGAGGCTCCGAGTTCGAATCCTCCCTTCCAATGTCATTCCAAGAGCTTGCAACTTAGTTAAGAGCATTCACTTTTGCACCTGATGTGTAAGTTTGACTTATGCTCTCCTAATCTTGCACCAGTTGTTTATAGCTTAGTTAAAAACATTCATCCATACATCTCAAGTCCTGAGCTCGATTTTCCCCTCTTCCAATACTGCTTATATTAAGGAAAAAGATTAAAGGTCGTACCCAGTGCACAAGGCTCCCGCTTTAGGCAGGGTCTGGGAGAGGTAAATGTCGGCTAGCCTTACCCCCATTTATGGAGAGGCTGCTCCCAAGTCTCGAACCCGAGACCTACAGCTCATGGGCGAAGGCACTTGCCATCGCACCAAGTGCGACCTCTAACATTAAGGAAAAAGATTACAAAAAGAAATTCACATTACAACTTACTCAATAGGAAGGGAAAAACAGACCTTAGTTTTTACCTTCTCCGTCTTTCTTGGTTCATAACTTCTATGTTGTGCTATGAGCAAGGACTTGTGTGGAATCATCCCTTTGTGGTTGCCTAGGAGGAAGTATAACTCCATCTCCTCCCTCCAATTCAATGACTACAAAGTCCACATCACTACCAATCGAAAACAGCTCCGAGTCCTGAGGCGAAGAGCTCGGTGCTATGACATGATCGATCGGACAACGAATATTACCTGAAACACTTGTTCTGCAAAGGGGGCAGTTGGTATTGCTTTGAAGCCATACATCAATGCAGTCCAAGTGAAACTCATGGCTGCAGTTGGGAAGAACTTTTAGGGTGTCTTGTTCTTGAAACTCTTTCAAACAAACTGCACATCCACACACACTTCTCTCTTCATCAATTCCTCCTTTGAACTGAACAATTGGGAATCCACGAATGACTGATTTGTCAAGCCCGCGGTTCCACACTGACGGAGAGAAGGCCGTGAGTAGTTCCTCATTTTGCCGACCTCGCAAGGTGGTCAGAGACCTCATGATCAGGAGACTGACTTGGTGCCAGTTTGAGCAAAACTTGACAACAATGAGATAGTAGCTAACTAATAAGAAAGCTGAGGCCATGAGGCTTAGTAGAACAATAGCTAATATAGGGAAAGAAGAAGGTGGACTTGGCAGAGGTGGTTGATATGTGGAGTTTACCTGGTTTTTGATGTGTAGGATGAGAGATTGATCACCAAAATTGTACCAGTTTTTGTGCTTTGTTGCCATAATAAATTGGTGCTGAATGTTACTGAAACTTGATAGTGTGATTCATAGATGCTGATATATAAGACCAATAGCTTCAGTAAGATTTATTTTTTAATCTATCAAATCAATGAAATTCAGTAACAACTTAAACGTGAAAGTTTAAAGAGATGGGTTACAAATTTTTGATAAAAAATCTGAACCTACAGTAAACCGTATATAAACCACGATTTAGTGGCCCTTTATTTATGTCTTAGTGTCTTTCAAATTTTACTTTTAATTAACAGTTGTAACTAGTTTTATATATAGGATGATCTATGAATAATGTTTTAAAAGATAGACAGTTTGGATCGTTGAAACATTACGAAATAGCTCCACAAAAATGTATGTAAAAAATTAAGTTAAACAAACGGTGTCATAGATCCGTCCCTATATATAGGTGTTGAAAGATTGGTTTTGTAGTCATACACTATGAAGGTGGTTCTGGACCACTGTCAAATTATGGTCTACAATGGAGTTGTACTACTACTAGATAGTTTGGGACATAGTCCCTCCCTACAACTTCATCTTACAGCCCATTTCATTCCATTCTTTTCAAGACTACATGGGCATTCTGGTTTAGGTAGTGGTATTGGCACTTCTTTTTTAGGTCAGGTTTAGGAGTGAGGTGATTAAAAAAAAAGTTGGGATGAAAAAAAGCTGGTAGCAATTTTGGTGTTTGGTAAACTTTGAAAAACAGCTTTATTTCAAAGTTGAGGGTGAAAAAAAGCCCAAAACCTGAAGCTGACCTGAAGCTGCAAATAGCAGCTTCAGAAAACATCTTATTTTCAAAACACGGAGCTACAATAATTCTTTTAATGAAAATTTCAAATTACCAATGTTGCCTTCATTTCTCTCTGCCTTCTCTCTCACACGCCCTCCTAGAAATCACAGAACATTCACACCCTCTTCTCTCTCGCACGCCCTCCTGAAAAACGGGTTCAGTGGTAGATTCATGTTTAGACCCAATTTTTAGATTATTGAATATATATGTCCAAGAAATCTTTGTGTTAGTAAGATTCCGAGAGTAGCAGTAGATTTCATTATCTTCTTAGTTAAGCGGTTTGATCTTCTTCTTCGCATCGATTTGGTTCTCTACCATCCCTCTTTCATTGTCTTCCGCAACTTCCTATCTTTTCCCCTTGGTTTGGGATGGTTTAGTTCCCGATTGGAGAGATTTTGAGTAGCTGTGAAAACGTACTCTTGGAAAAATGAAGAAATGACCTTAAGGTGTTTACTTCTTTAACCAAAATGCCCTTCAAAATTTGGTCAAGTTATTTGTGTAATGGTAGAAAGTTCATGTGTCGAGCACCAAACAATGTGTTCAATCAACACCTACAGCTAAAACTACCCTCGATTGTAAGTTTAAGACAAGAAAAGATGTGGACAGCCATCGACGTTTAGCCTCCAAATCAGGATTTCCTGTTTTGTAACCTTCACTATGAGCCTTCAAATATATTCAATAACCATTCGGATATTTCATCTGTCTCGATCCCATTACACAAAAAAAATGGAGAACAATGGTAGCATAGCATGCATATACGGTGAAAATTTCTTACAACACATTTCATTACCTCTGTTGTGTGCAAGAATTCTTCTGCACATAAGGTGCACTGCATGAATCTTAACTTGTATTAATCTAGAGAAAACTTCTAGTAACTAGGCCTTATTACGTACAACAGTAGTGTTAAATTAATCTAGCCATCCTTAAGGGGAAAATATGCTATCACCGCAGGCACATTTCTAAACCTGTGGATAGTACTCGTTCTCTTCCAATGCCATTGCTCGGACAGATACTTGTATTGTATATCTGCACTATGGTTTAAATGACACTCACATATAAGCAGCTTTAAGCACATATTGAAGCTCCAACTAGTTTGCAATGTTACTCTCTTGAAGTTTGTTTAAGGTGCTGTTTCTTGGTTATGAGATATAGTCTGAATGCTTTTGTTATGTCTTGTTGCAGACGAGTCTAATGTACAAATTGCACCAGCTTATGCCAAAGAGGGAAAATTTTCGATTGACTATATTTCCTGGACCTGTGGATCGTGCTTTGGTAGCAGCCTTGATTGTAATATTTCTCGATTGATCCCGGGTTATAGAAGACCTGGCATTGAACGTTTTCAAAATTCTCAACGCTACAATACAACCTAACAGGGGTAGAATCAACGAGACGCGAAGACATGAAGTAGTTAAAGCCCCCGATACTTATAAACAGACCGATTGGTCAGCAGTTCATGATCTCTGGAACCATTTTTCCCGTTCAAGAGTTGGATTACATTTTGTTGTCAGCTATTAGGCACAATACGGTGTACCTCAGCATCACTTTTTAAAGATCTATGATCAAGTAGCTTAGGTCTTTGCTGTTCTTTCAAAGAAATTGTGGTCTTCAGTGCAAATTCTATGATTTTTTGAAGTTTGCGAAGGGTTGAAACTGGCTAGGATTTTCCAGTTACTTGTCTTAAGTATGAACTTACATGTTTCAAGTTGAGAAGTGCAGCAGTGGCAGTAGTTGCAACCTCTCAAACTTCTCTTACGATTTCTTTTTATTCCTACTCAAATTCTCTTTCACAGAATTTCGTGCTTATAACCGACACTTCTACGACCAAACATGCAGCAATCTCTCAATCTTCTCCTATGATTTCTTTTTGAATAATACTTGGTTGCTCAATGATAAGTATGAAATTTCTACTCAAAATTTTTCGTTTGCAGAATTTCGTGCTTATGATCCCGATCTATCATATCATACATCACTTTGTAAATATAGTCTTTGTAAAAAAAAATCAATTAAAACTAAGGAAAATTAACGAAAAGTTCGAAAAAACTTCTCTTTTAACGAAAAGCCTTTTTTAAAGGTATAGTGAATAGTGCCAGTTAAAAGTAAAAATTTAGATTTTCGTTAAAAGTGAATAGTACCGGAAGTGTTTTGTTAAGAAAATTAAATTAATAGCACATCTAGTATTATACCTTTTTTGGTCATTTCACACAGTCACAGCTGTTTTACATAAAAGTTTACCAAACACTATCATACAACTTTTTTTTCCAAAAGCACTTTTACAAAAAAGTTTACCAAACACTTTGCTGCTTTATTTCACAGCACAGCCGCTTATTCTCACAGCATATTTTTTTCAAAGCACAATAATACCAAACCAGCCCTAGTCACCTGCATTTCAAATTAAATATATTTGCATTTTTTTTTCATTCATAGGACGAAGAGGAGTGCATGAGGCTATACGATGAGCCTTCATTTGTCACCCAAACCCTGTGTATTATATATGTTGTCTTGGGTTAAATTGAGATAAAATCTTGAACGTAACTGAATACAGGTTCGTTTGGATGTGCTTTTAAAATGACTTAAAGTGTTTTTAGAGAAAATGTTGGTGGGTTTCAAAAGCACTTTAAGTGATTTTTACAAAAAACACCAGTTATGTGCTTCTTTCATGAAGTACCTTAAGTATTTTTCCAGGATTTACAAGCATTTTTACTAAGGATTGTTTCTAAAAATATTTTCAACAAAAAAGATTTCATTCATTTTAAAAGCACATCCAAACGAACCCTATATTTATCATTTTTCTATAGGAAAACTAATGAAAAGGGCTTGAAAACTTTGAATTTTAATGATAATGACAAAATAAAGGGTAAATTGAATAGTACCATGATTGATTTTTTAGAGTAAAAATATGGTTTTTCGTTAAAATAAATGGTATCGGGAGCTTTTCGTTAAAGTTTTATTTTTCTATCTATGAGAAATTAGGCGTAGAGAAAAAAAGCTATGCTCCTGTTGCAAAGGCAAACTCTTTTCCTAAATTGATGAAGTTTTGGAGCCATTGTCAACTATATGCTTGTCACTACAACACAACAAACAACAACAAAGCCTTTTCCCACTAAGTGGGGTCGGCTATATGAATCCTAGAACGCCATTGCGCTCGGTTTTGTGTCATGTCCTCCGTTAGATCCAAGTACTCTAAGCCTTTTCTTAGAGTCTCTTCCAAAGTTTTCCTAGGTCTTCATCTACCCCTTCGGCCCTGAACCTCTGTCCCGTAGTCACATCTTCGAACCGGAGCGTCAGTCGGCCTTCTTTGCACATGTCCAAATCACCGGAACCGATTTTCTCTCATCTTTCCTTCAATTTCGGCTACTCCTACTTTACCTCGGATATCCTCATTCTCAATCTTATCCTTTCTCGTGTGCCCACACATCCCACGAAGCATCCTCATCTCTGCTACACCCATTTTGTGTACGTGTTGATGTTTCACCGCCCGACATTCTGTGCCATACAACATCGCTGGCCTTATTGCCGTCTTATAAAATTTTCCCTTGAGCTTCAGTGGCCTACGACGGTCACACAACATGCTGGATGCACTCTTACACTTCATCCATCCAGCTCGTATTCTATGGTTGAGATCTCCATCTAATTCTCCGTTCTCTTGTAAGATAGATCCTAGGTAGCGAAAACGGTCGCTTTTTGTGATCTTCGCTAAATTGCTCCGGTCATTAGTGTGGATAAGTATATAAATGGATAGAGATAGGAAAGCAAACACAAGATGTACGTGGTTCACCCAGATTGGCTACGTCCACGGAATAGAAGAGTTCTCATTAATTGTGAAGGGTTTACACAAGTACATAGGTTCAAGCTCTCCTTTAGTGAGTACAAGTGAATGATTTAGTACAAATGACATTAGAGTACAAATGACATTAGGAAATATTGTGGGAGAATGATCTCGTAATCACGAAACTTCTAAGTATCGGAGTGTGGTATTGACTTGCCTTATCTGTCTCATAGGTAGATGTGGCAGCTTCTCTGGAAGTACTCTTCCTCCATCCAGGGGTGGTATCTTTAACTGGTGGAGATGCACAAGGTAATGTATCAATTTCACTTGAAGCTTACTTGTAGTTTCAGGCTTGGTCAAGCGCGATACAAACCATGTAGTAGGAGTCCCCCAAGTCGCCGAGCTAGGGGATTTGCTGAAAGAGGTGACAGACAAGGTAAGCAATCAGAGCTCCGGCTGATTGTTCACCTTCTCCCTATCTTGCAGCAGCATGAAGGATAAAG